CCATGCAGGGCTTTAAGGCCCACCTGGTTTGCTGCCATTGAGAAGGCTGGGAGCCCCTTCAACTGCCCCCACCGCTCAGATGTGCCAGGCATGCTCCAGAATGYCTCTGCTCACTGTCACCTGTCACCRAGCAGCACCAAGCCAGCCCAGACATCTCCAGCAGCCACCTTGGAGCTCGCTCTAATTGTGACCCCAAGACAGAGCTCATTACATTTCAACTCAAGAGCTATGAAGTGCTCTGCTCTGTCATCAAGCCAGGACAGTCAACTGATTACAAAGGCTGTGTTTAATCTTAACTCTCTGGAGGCTTAAAATTAAGGCACTTCACCACCTGAGTCCCTTCAGTCTTCAGTTTAACAGAGGTTTCACTGCCAACTTGCCACTGGGTAGTTGTTTTCAGGCACAGGTTCATGACAGCCAAGGATCAAGGGGTACCTCAGCATGAGCTTTCATTTATACAAGGCAGCATCCACCCATTTACAGCTCTACAGAGACTGACCTGGCTACAGCAACAAATAAGATTTGAGTATCGATTCCCTTCTCTCTGCTATTGAGCAATTCAGATAAATCTGTTCGTTATTGAGCAATTCAGATAAACCTGTTCGTTAACAAGTGACAATTTTCTTCAATTAATAATGCACTCTCAACACAGTTGAGTTGCAACAGAGTGAAGTTTTGCAAAATAACTCCACACAGTTGAAAAATTTGCTGCGGTCGGTGATTTGGCTTAGCTTTCCACACCATTGAGACTCTTGCATAACCTGGCAGGTATGGAGGCATCCCAGGACCTATCAAAATTTAAGTAGGTTTTATCATCAACAATGCAGTACATCAAGCAACTTCAAAGATGGAAGTAGTGACCYAGCAGGCAAATTTTAGCAGTTTGCAGCAGAAAAAGGTAGTTTTCCCCTTAGCTTCCAGCCTGCTGGTTKGTGGGTTTTCTGACACTGTGTTTATATGGCAATGTTGGGACTGCAAGGATTTGAGCACTGCTTAGTGGCTGGAAGACMATTCTCAGCATCTACATTTACCTACACACAGTAAACCTGGCTTTTGCAACTCAGTCTCCCATTTCACAGCTTTCATTTCCAATCCCCTCACAACCCCCCTAAGTACATTKGGAGGTTAAATGTCAATACTTACTGCCTGGAGCTTCATTAAAGTCAAGTGMGAAGGAACAACTCTGCATTGCAGCATACATTTAACCCCATTTCTGGCTTAACAATTTTCTTTGAGTAGTATCCCTAAGTAAATTACAGTATATATTGCCGTATGTATTTTTTCTATCACATCATAGCTCAAGGACACRGGATGATCTTCCCCAGCTCCCAAATACAGGGTTCTTCACTTCCAGAGCACAAAGGCGACAGAAACTTCAGCATTAATGATTTCAATAAGAACTAGCTCCCAAGAAGTCCCAGGATAGATCTGAGAGCCAAACCACAGAAAACCAGTTGGGAGCTCTTGTTAGTACAGCAAAACTGACCCTGAGAAATGAGACAAACAGCTTTTTATAACACAGCTCGGCAAAGGCAAGAGAASCAGAAACTTATGGAAAAGGATTAGTAAATTCTGCTCACAGAAGTTTAAGAGGCTTCTCCTACCAGCTGGGCTGTCCTAGCCAGGAGAAACTGCAGATCCTTAAGGCAAAGTCCTTGCTTTTGAAGAGTGTTACAGCAACCCTGCAAGGGGATGGTTAAGTCTYGATGATCAAGAGGCCAAGGGAATTCAAAAGGCCTCCTGCACCTTGCTTGGACCACGGCTCATTCTGAGCAGGGGAACTGCAAAGGTAAAAACATTTAAAAATTAGTTGGATTAGAAATTGGAAAAGGAGAGAAAGTTGTTAGATAGCTAAAAGCTTTAAAGTTGCCTTCCCCGGTGCCTCTGACACCATCCCAAACTTTCCCCTGTTGCGTTGCATTCATTCAGTCCAAACCAGACACTTTAAATCTAAAATAAAATACTTTATTTTCCCCATATAAATCTCTTTTTCTCCTTTAAAAAGGTCTTTTAACACTTATTTGCGGATCAAATGAAAAGACAATGGCCTCATAAAGCAACATCACTTAATGTACTTAGGCAAATACAGGCATCCTTCAAACCAAAAACATACATTGATTACTTATTATAGACATTCATGACTGAATCCTGGGGTTTCCACAAGCATCAACTTGGATGTATCCGGTGTACAGGAAGGCTGACGCATCTGCATGTGCTCAGAGGTTTGTGCCCTTTTTAAAGCTGGTTTAGCAAGGGAAGGGTGGCAAAATTCGTCACCAAGTTAAATCACCAARTGGGGAAGAGCTTCCTCCATCTAACTGCTCCTTAAGGGCTCTGCTTGTTGTAAGCAGAAATGTCTGCAGCCACCTGGGAATTTACAGCAAATTTCCCTTAAGACGTGGAATCAGTTTTGGAATTATGAGGAGTCACACCCAAGGGCTGAATTATTGCCTAAACAGTACTCCGTGAACAGACACGGGTTGGAAGCATTTCTGGTATAAACAGGTAATACCATGTGCTCTTAACATCTACTGAATTAAACGCACMAAGAATCGAGGCTAAGACAGGAATGTGGCACTTCCAGAAGTCACTGCCAGGATGCCATGGAGAAGCCATCACCAGGTTCTGGTGGAAAAAAATAGGATTTCCCTGTCTTCACTCCCTGCCATGCTAGAAGAGCCCCACAAAGAGGACTTTCAAAAGCACAAGCAGAAACTTGGAAGGCTCTTGTTCCGAGTGAGCAATGGTGGCAATTAGTCCCGAGAAACAAAATAATCTGGTTCCACCAAAACCAACAAGGTGAACTGCAGAGGGCTGCCCCATCCTCCCCTTCAAGAATTAACATGCTGCAAGTCATCTGTAATATCAATACGAAGGTGGCAAACAGAATTTAGGAAGGGTAACAGCACACATCCCAATTTACCCAACAAAGTGGCCAGAAATCATATTTCTTCCCTTTTCCCAACTGTCCAGTATTGAGCCCTTTCCTTAAAAGCCGAATCGTTTTTCTAATAGACAAAAATTCTGCTAACTATACACATATTTACAGCCTGTAATTTGATAGCAACAGCTTAAATTAAGACAAATAGACACAAATTAATACCATTTTACAGACTACTGGATTTCCTACGACAAATCTCATTAGGCTTTGCAGAAATTAAACTGGAAAAGCAGTGGCAAGCACACTTGCGAGCTGCGCACACCCAAATGCACCTAAGTAAAACATAAAATCAGCAAAAGCAAGCAGWATCTTTCTAAACTTTCAGGTACTCAACTAAAAATCAGCACTTTCATTTAGTGGAGAAGCCTATTTATTTAACCCTCATGTAAGGACTTACTCCAAAATTATTATGATAAAAGAGGCAAAAAAAAAAATCTTCTGAAAAACTAAGCTTGCTATCAAGCCTAGATAGCAATTCCTCATTGGAAACACGGAACTGTGGTCACTGGACAAATTAAACTTACACCAAGTTARCTTTCCTTCTTGATCACATTAAACCCAATCTGTTATTTTCCCTATCCATTACCCTGCTTGAAACTTAATGATCCTAAATATGCAAGTCAAGACTATCTTCAAACAGGTTTAAAAAAAAAAAAGCAAGCTAAAACCAGTCAGGATTGAGCCACGTAATCGGGTCTCACCCCAAATCAAATAAGAACTGCCCAGCATCAAAACCAGCTGCCACCACTACTGTCCCCAAAAAAATCACATTTTTCCCTTGCATTCTAACTTATTCCCAGAACGTCACAAGAGAAATGTGGGGTTTTTTGTTCTTGTGGTTTACCTTGAAGAAATATTTGGTCTGAAGACAGCTATGACAATCCAGCAGTGTTTTTCACAACTAAAAGGACTARCATCACTCCTAACTTTGGAACTGCTGCCATTGCAAACTAAACTGGAAGAAAAAACAGATTATCCAAACTAAAAATCTCATTCAAACCACAACCTTGCTTTCTAACAGGAGCAGTTGCTCTCTAAGTTGCACTGTCATCTCCCAACATGGGGCAAGGAACCAAAAAAAGGACTTCAAAGGAAAGGGGACCTCAGGATCCCCCACCACACTGATGGTCCTTCACTTGCCGAGATGGGGCTTCTCACAGAGGGGTATGCACCTTGTTCAGTTTTATTTCCTATACAGAGAGGCTCTTTCCTCCCCTCTGGATGAGGCTGACACATTTGGAAACACGCAGTTTTGGAGATGTTTAAAATACCTTTTCCTAAAAACTCAGGAGAATGGAAAACCTGCCCAATGATATCCAGAAGGACACTCAAGTTTGCTGTTAGCAGACAGTACCTTCAYCTTGCTTCTTGTCTCAGGAAAATAAGCCTTGGACAAGTGGTCCTTACTGCCCTACCATCCACTCTTCCTCTAAAATATTTCCAGAGATCRTGTTTTCTTTGCCCGTTCCTCAAACCCATGCATGGCCCTGCTTGTGCTCTTGAGTTGAGAGGCTCCAAGGTGYCACGCAGGAGAAGTTGCCAGTACCCAACATCAGCACCTTCCCGGCCAGGGCAAAACATGACTCAGCTCTCAGCTAACCAAGAAAGTTCATTTAATAAATTAAAGCAGACAACCACCGGCCGCAGGAGCTTTCGTTGAGTAGACTGCACCACTTCTATTGAGGTGTGACTGCAAAAAAMCCCCATTTTTTAGAAAATATTAGGAATTAGATTTGGGCCATAAGCTTACTCACCAACCAAATAAATAAAAAACGAACCACTAAATGCATTAAGTCCTGCCCCAATCAGCCTGACAAGAAAGCCTATTAAATGTGCAGCACCTCCAGGGGAGGAAAAAAAACAACAGGTTTTCAACAGTGCTTTTTGGTCCTTACCAGTAATCAATTATCCTTCAAGCTCCTACATTATATAATTAGAAGTGCTTCCATAAGGTGACTGGTAATTAATCAGGAGACTATAATTTTCCTTCTTACTGCACTTTCAACCTTTTTTTTCCCAGAGATCTTGCATAAAACAGTAAAGTCATTTTTCCTTTAAAAGACATTTCTCCCTCCGAGTAGTTTTACCCATTTAAGCTACCAACTTAAAAACTTAAGCGTTAACACAGCCAAGTTGGGCCTCAAAATTTGACTATTGATACGAAAACCTTAAGTTTGATCCTCTTAAAGGAACCGCATGAATCCCTAACCTTCTCATTTTTATCTCTAAGCAGAGACAAGTTAAACTTTAACCATAATTTTTTTAAAGAAAGCATCACACATTTTTCCAGCTTAATGCTTCTCCAGTCCTCCCACAAAGCATGTTTGGTGGACCAATCTGGACATTATATTTTTAATCTCAAAAACATTTGTACATCCTTATCAACAGCCACTAGATTCACTTCCATTCGGGTGTCAAGACCACTTAAGACCCCCATCAACCACTTAAAAACAAAGTTATGACGAACTCAGTGATTTTTGAGGAGCAGCAGCCATAAAAGACCCTGTCAAAAAAAAGACAGCATAGACAAAATTAAAACCAAAGAGCATCTTTCCCCAGACTCTTTGGCTGCTGCTTAAAGCAGACATTTTCACCTAATATTTGTTAGGTAACTCACAAGACACTTCTCCCTTTGTGTCCTGCAGCAGACTCAAACACTGCCAAGCATTTGGGCCCAAACGCTCTATTTTGGCTTCCACAAACCCTGGCAGCTCTAAAGAGCACCTCAAAGTATGACGGCCAAGCCAAGGTTTAACAGGGACATTCCTGCCCCGTCACAGCATTCCTAACAACTTCCACCTGCCTGGGAAACCAGCTCTAAGCACATGAATATGCTCCATTCCAGAGCTGCTTTAAAGTGAAATGCTCCTAGACATTTGCTGCTGCTCGGCCTGCACGATCAAGTGGAGCTGTCTCTTTGCAATGCCCGTGTTCAAATCCCATAAGAACTCCAAGAGTTTGCCCTGGAGCAGAGCCTCCATGGGCACAAACTGCAAAACCTGCTGGGGAGAATCCGAGTCCAGCAAAGAGCACATGAGTTTGTTCAGGTGGTGCAGATACTCCACGACAGCATTTGGGAGGCCCTGGTAGCCGAGGCACAGCAGAAGGGCACAGGTCTGGAGTGGCTCGTGGGAGGTGGGACAAGCAAACGCCAGGCATCTGAACGAGCAGTGCAGGATGAAGACGAGGCCCGCCGTGAAGCGTGTAAAGCAGGAGAGAACAGGCAGGACCAACGCATCTCCTGCCTTAAGCTGCTTCAAGGAATCCAGAACACACTCCAAAAGCTGCTGCTGGTATTTTGGTTCTCCATCATAAACCAGCGAGAAGCTAAACGCCAGCAGCAGGGGGGATTCCAGGAGCTTCATCTCCATGTTGGGCTGGCTTTTGGTCCTGCAAAGGGATGGAAAGCCCACCACAAGGCACGTGGACTGCTCACTGTCGCTTGTGCTAAGGACCTCCTGGTGACAGGCAGTAAGGCTGGACAGTTCAGCCAGGATCWGCTCCCCAGAAAGCACCTTGCAAGAGGGACATGGCTGCAGCGTTTGCCTGCTGCTYAGTCTGGCCCCTGCCCATTCTTCCATCGCTTCATTAAGATTTTTTAAGACTTGACCATCACAAAATGGCGAAGATTTTACCACTGGCAGTCTCTTTCCTTCCAAAATGTACCACAGGCTACATTCAAGGTTCAAGGATAGTCCTKCCAAAACACACATTTTACCAGCATTATTAAAGCTGTGCTCTTCGGCCCAGTGATTAAAATAGCCCTTTGCCATTTTATCATTCCACATCAGGGTTTCCAGCATCTTCCTCTCATTGTACGTACTAAAATATTTGCTCCTCTGCCCAAACCACTTTGCATTCATTGTGCAACCAGCCTGGCATTTCTTCACCAGCCAGTTACTTCTGGCAATAGGTTTCATGCAATATCTTTGCATGAAGAGCTCCACCGCACAATCTCTTAAGCTGTTCAGTTTTGTCTGCTCTGCTTCTTCCATACACTTGAAGAGCCGGATGTTCTCAGAGATGGTCTCTACTTGGCACTTGTGGAAGAATACACAGCATTCCTCATGCATCTTAAGGAAAGATGCTGGTATCATATGCTGGGGGAAAAGTGCTTTGTTGACCATTTCTGCACCAAAGTTCTGCATCATCTTGGAGAGCAGTAGGTGAATGCTCTCTCTGCCCAAATAGCGCAGACAAACTACATAGACCTCTGAGTTTCCAGCTTTGCTAGTGGCCGGCTTAAAGACATGGACCTGCTCAAAGCAACAGTTTAGGAGGAAGAGTAGATTGGCAGAGCAGTGCTCAAACAATGTGAACATCTTCAGAACAAAGGATCCTCCCGTGCTCAGGATCATTAAAGCAGTGACTGCTTCACAGTAGAGCAGAGGTGAAACGAGAGCTTCCTGTTCACCTGGATTTCCCTGGCAATCAAAACTGCCATCAGCAGTTACCAAGTGAACTGTGGTCATATTTTTTATGAAGTGCTGAAGCCCCGTTAAATACTTCAATGTCATCAAGTCACCAGTGTTATCTGGGCCAAAGTACCACCACGGCAAGGTATTCGCAATGAGACGGTCATCCATAATCATGACGAGGCCATCGTTTGCTTCATGATACGGGTTGAGAGTGTTAGCTGCCCAATTCCAATCGCAAGGGATGCGATGGGATTTCAGGTAGTGATTGAGGCTGGCTATAAACGCACCAGGTGCTTCACAGAGATGGACAGAGTTCAGCTCTCCATCCTGAAGAGCTTCTTCAGGGAGAAGAGGGAAGCTGCATAGTATCTCATGAAACTTGCACCAAGCCTGGGTACACAGCTCAGCATTCACCGACTTCTTCACATGAGGAATTATTTTTCCTGCTCTGTTGGTCAGTGAGGTGTGCTGATGCCACTCCACCAGGTTCTTGTCACTCAGCTGATTCTTGACATCATTCATGGAGTCCTTCAGAGCAAGGAGCGAGCCGAACACCTCATGATCACAGGTAAAAGCAATACTAGGATCTGGCAGCTTCCACTCATTACTCACAGGCTTTGTGTAAGAAAACTTCTTGGCAAAAAGCTTCTCAATCTCAGCAACAACATCAGGGGTGAATTTTTCCAGTTTCAGAGTGTGGTCAACATAAGGTTTCTTGCATTTGTTCATTATTGGATTGACTCACAACCTGTAGGACAGTAGGGGAGGAAAAAATGTTAGGCTTCTAAACAGAGTTATACAAGCAGGCAAAATTAAATGCAGATATATAATGACAAGAGGCTTAAAAAAGAAAAAAAAAATTATTTTGTGCCAAATTCATGATAACACGGAGCTTTGGCTAAGCCACTTCAAATCCTTATGCCTGGCTCTCCTTGAGAGAAAAACAGTAGTTAAACTGAAGTGGRGAAAAAGAGGTGGTTTTGTGGGTATTTATGGTCAATTCTAACTCCTAATTGTCAGCAAATACAACAGACAGGGAGGCTGTGTGCTCCAAAGCGCTAAGGACCCGCCAGCATGGGCTTTGTGTGGAACCTGAGCACAGGAACCACCTTAGGCCCAGCCTTTTAACCACCTCCAAAACACACCCGAGAAGCAGCACGCGGCATTCAGACAGCTCCAAAGCAGCTTATCGCAAAGAGAAGGGAAATAAAACCCGAACCAGGCAGGGCCAACCTGAAGGACTTGACTCTCCCCCGGGACCGCGGGCCACGCGGCCGCTCCGGCTCCCCGCTCTCGCCACCCGCGGCCGGGCCCGCCGCGTAGTTTCGTTTTCCCGGAGGAGGCGGCGGCCCCGAAGCGGCCCCGGCAGCAGGCGCCGCCTCGCTCCGCCCGCCGCCGCCTCGCGTCCCGCCCGCGCCGCTACG